AGCATTTTTCGAGTAATACCTCAACTATTACATTTTTTAATTAACTCTCCTTTACCAATAAAACCGAAATCCTGCTTAGTACACGACTGAAAAATTGTAAAATGGTGTGAGTGAACAGCTTCTAAGCACACTGCGTCACTTTTTCAATTCCTCTTAATTTTATCAAGCTTTTTTGGCTAGTTTCGCATTTTTCGGCTTTACACTTTTATCACGTAACAATATTGAATCCCCTTTAGCATACGTATACTTATAAAAGTGATGCATAATACGATGTGTGTGCAATATTTTTATGTTATATGTATAAGATAAAAATCTTATGTTTTTATACTCAGCGCGCCAGAAATCGCGTCGCGCAAATACACTGCGGTACGCAATGGGTTAAAATGCCCAAAAAGGGTCGTGGCCGAGGAGGCGGAGTATAAGTTGGATATTCAAAAAAAATCGCCTCAATGTGTAGATCGTAGCTGTCAAAGTCTCACTAAAATAGCATGTTGCGGATATAAAGTTATAAAGTGGCGAAATTTTCACTAAATCCATTAATAAGTGGGCGGAGTCGTCGGGGGCGGAGTCAAGTTTACTATATAGTTATAGTGTTGTCAGGGGTCTATCTGTCAATATACTATAAACTGTGAAAAACTATTATAACATCTATATATAGTGTAAAATGTGTCTAACATACATGTAGAATGTGTCGCGACAAAAAGGGGCGGAGTTATCTGGGGGCGGAGCGTGTAATGGAGATGTAATATAGTATAGTGTGTCCAGAAAATGTCTATGAAGGGCTCTTCGTGCAAAAGTTGCAAAAAGAGCCACTTCGAACAAAGATTTTAACTAAACACTGTGACATGTAGTTCAGTTTGTGGGAACCATACTGAAGTGGACCGTTCTGTTAATTCCTGATTGGCTGCCCACTCGTGACCAATCCTCTTCTCCCAGTTTCGATGTAATAGTTCTGTAGGAGTTACCCACAGTGAAGGTACTATCTCACCTTAATCATATCCAACCCATGAATCGCCTCAGCAACACGTCTGTACATCTCCAATGGCGGCTGATGCCATGGTATTCGGGCTTCTTCGGGAGTTGTCAGCTCTCGTCGCCTGACAACTACGCGCTTGTCCCAGTCATCCAGTGTCTAGAACGGATGTGATGATAATCAAAGGAATAAACATAAACTGAGTGAGCATAACAGGTAATATTACGCTTCATGTACCGGGTACCTTAGCACTTTCTGGCTCTTCATCGGTACCAAATTCTCCTAAGCGGCCTTTTCCGCGATCTGACGCATCCAAAGGGCAATGCATAACGCCATCGTCTGCAAATCGAAGGATAGCTCTATTACTAAAAAGAAACCGGACTTATCTCCCTCAAAAACATCCTCTAGCGAAGTAGGAAGACAGGAACCTAAATATGCACCTCCAGAACTGCACGGTACGCACTGATCCTCAAAATCTATTTCCTTCACACTGTCCACATCATCTAATTGATTGCTATCATTTGACACATCGTGATTGGTCTGGAAAAGGATCAGTACTGCATCGACTTAGAGAAACCGTCCATCACTCTCACTAGTGCTAGAAGTCTGCAAGACCGTCTGGGCTGCTTCTAATTTGCATCTATTAAGACTATTGTCTGCGTCTACTGTGTGAAGAATATATCAAAAAGAAATAAATAGGTTAATAAACAAATGAAGGCAAAGGCTTAGACCCCATTCCTATAACTACCAAAAAAATTCACAGTTCCTCACAGTAAAACACTTGACGCTGCCATTGACACAGCTAGTAATATCAAGTCGACACAGGGTTTTCCATTAGCGGGCCACCTCCTTCCAGTCGACGCACTTTGGAAGAGACTGGGACTATCTCCTTGCATTCGACGCAGGGTTTCTCACTAGTACAACCACCTCCTCCTATTCGACGCATTTAAGAAGAAATGTGAGTTTGATGGGGAGTTTGAGCCTTCTACAAGTAGCGCACACACCTTCTCCACTCAAAAAAGCACGAGAACGGGGCTGAAGGGTAGTGATACCGGATACCGTCTCCATACTCCGCCGGCACTGTTCTCAAGTACTACTTGCGTCGATACCATCGATACGTAGGTCCCACAGCGAAACACGCACTCAGTGGGACAGAACAACCTGGAGTGAGAGTACGCAGATAAATAGCGCGCCTGGCTATGGCTAGGTATGTGGGTGGCAGGGCGGACCGAAATGTGGAGACGGTACCCAGGTGTCACTACCCTCCAGCCCCTTCTCTTGCACTTTTGAGACGAGGAAGTGGTACACAACCAGCTGTCGACCCATTCACCTCGCAATTGGAATGGGCTGTCCTCGGACGTTAAGTGAACAAGAATGCTGAGTTGTGGGCAAAAGTCGGACCACGGGCGGGATTCGAACCCGCATCTTCTGCTTACCGGGCAGTTGCGTTCCCTATTACGCTACCGGGGCCACTTTTGACCTCTCAGCTATTTGTGCCATTGCCTCCGACGTTTGCCCACAACTCAGCATTCTTGTGATAACTTTCGGATTGCGCACTGCGGCATTAAACAGCAGTTATCAAATAATAACAGTTCAACACTGCGTCGCAACGCGCTGCGACGATGTAACCGTTACCCTCCACATTGAATAGCTTTTCAATTTGTAAATTAGCGTATGTGAATTTGAGTAAAATCTGTAAATATTGGATTACCAATTCCATATTGCCTACTTCTCCCACAAGGTGTTCACCGTGTTCCGGGTACTGCCGCGGTTGATACGGTAACGTTGGATAAGTCACCGAAACACCTCTAGTCCTCTCGGTCACCTAAATTCAGAGCTGTTGATTCGAAAAAATAGGCTATCCCAATGAACAATCAGACCACTTTTCACCTCGATAGGCAGCACGAACCATCGAAGATGCGCATATCGACCATCAACAGCTGATCGGCCATCTGGTACTACCGTCTGGAAATTGAAATTTACTTGATGATCGTTAAAGTGAAACTTGAAAGCGTTGGTGATCTATGTAAAAGGTTCTTAGAAAGCTAGATTTTTCATTATAAAGAGCTTAATGCCTCACTCACCCTTTCTACGGATTCCAGGCTTTCATCAGCTAGTCGATGCGCTTCTGACAATAAAACACTTGCTCTCAACGGATCCGACATGTCTCTCTGAAAAGCAAATTGATCGTTAAATTTTAGGTTGTCCGGAAAGTTCTGCATGTTTTGTGTTACTATTTTTTGCACATTCATTGCTGATTAAAAACTCATTCTCCCTTGCGTCTCAGTAGTACATCCTGAAGAGAATTTTTTGCGCTATCTGATGGTATAATTGCCGTTTCACCATTGCTTGAATTGTCTCGAAGTTTCTTCTTCATTGCTTTTGCGCAACAGAAACGACCCGTTTTTGGACCGAATTGTCACCTGTGATGAAAAGTGGATCATGTATGATAACAGGAGACGTTCCGGACAGTGGTTGGATGCCGACGAACCACCGAGGCAATTTCCAAAGCCGAATCCTCACGAAAAAGATTATGGTCACAGTGTGGTGGTCATCGGCTGGTGTCCAAACCATCACAGCAGAGTCCTACTGTGAAGAAATCGACGAAATGTACCGAAAATTGCGTCAGCTGCAGCCAGCACTTGTCAACAGGGTCCGATTCTTTTGCATGACAACGCCCGCCCACACGTTTCACAAATCACTATCCATAAATTGAACGAATTGGGGGTTGAAGTTCTACCTCACCGCCATATTCTCCAGACCTTTCACCAACCGACTATCACCTTTTCAAACATTTTCAGAACTTCCTTGCTGGAAAATACTTCATCAATCAGGACCAGGCAAAAAAGCCTTCGTGGATTCTCGACCACCCAGTTTTTTCTTTGATGGGATTTCTCGACTGTGTCACATTGGCAAAAGTGTGCTGATTCGAACGGTGCTTATTTCGATTAAATCCGATGAGTATTAAAAAAGTTACGATCGTTTAAAGTGAAACACTCAAAACGCTGAGAACTTTCCGGAC